TGAGGATTCAGAGTGTGTATAAGGGATCTAGTGCGTGCGTGTGTAGATGATCTAAAGTTGTATAGAGGATCTTGTGTGGGTGTGTGTGTTTATCTGGAATGTAATGTGTGTGTGCGTGTGTGAGAGAGGTGCAAAACGTCAGTGACGGGTGCACTGTGTGTGAGGGGTGCGATGTGTGTGCATGAGCAATGCAACATCTGTGGGGATGTAGTGTGTGTGTGAGGGGTGCAGCATGTTTAGGGGGTGCAGTGTGTGTATGAGAGGTGCAGTGTATGTGAGGGGTGCAGTTTGTGTGTGTAAGAGGGGCACAGTGTGTGTGTGAGGGGTACAGTGTGTATAAAGGGTGCAGTGTGTGTCAGGGGTGCAAAGTGTGGGGGGTGCGGTGTGTATGTTAGAGGTGCAGTGTGCAAGTGAGGGGTGCAGTGTGTTTAGGGGATGCAGTGTGTGAGAGGTGCTGTGTGTGTAAGGGTTTAAGTGTATATGAGGGGTGCATTGTGTTTAGGGGTGCAGTGTTGGGAGGTAATGTGTGTTGGAGGCAGATTAAGGAAAATATATTATTTATGTATTTCAAAACAAAACAACAACAAAAACTTTATATCCCCTCACCCCATTTACCTTTGTCAGGGAGACATTGTAAGCCCTGGTGGTCCAATGGTGGGTGAACTCTAGCCTGTAGCTCCTGGTGCTAGAGTTCACTCTCGGGAGATCTGGTCAAAGCATTCCCATGGTAACCGCTGCACCACTATGACCTTGCGAGAGAAATCTACAGGACCTGGCGAAGCTGCAGGCTAGAGCCCCCGGATCCTCTACTCTGCTCACACTCTGCTAAGTGCCTGTGGGACGGTGGGGAGACTGACACGCATAGCATACTGCTTGGCTGGCGCAGGCCTTGCATGGGTCAGCCGGGGAGAACCTCTGATCTCTCCTGCCGGCCTTGGCCCATGGCCATCGTTGCCCACCGGACATTTGCCCGGTTTGACCAATGGCCAGTCTGGGCCTGGTACCAAGTGTGTCCCTCAGAAATATAAAGCTATTGGAATCTTTGTCTGAATTTAGTATTTTTATTGTATGTGCATTTATCTTGTAAATTTTACATTATGACATTCTGGTTATAATTAAATTACCCAGTTTCCCTGAAAATAAGACATCCCCCGAAAATAATCTATGTTCTATGAATTTTCCCCAAACATAGATTCGCAGGATTCCATGTGCGAGTAAGCTACTCTATGTTTGGGAAAGTTTCCCCAAGCAAATGCACGGGATTCCATGCCCTAGTGATTTGCTCTGTGTTCGGGGGAATTTCCCCAAAAGTAGACCTGCTTTCTAGCATATGCTTGCTTCCTTTTTCCTCTGAAAAATTTAATCCCCTAAAAATAAGCCCTAGTGCATTTTTTGGGGGGAAAATTATGACCAATTATTTAAATCTCTCTTGGTAAAATCATGCTTCATCTGAACTCAAAAGTTGATATTAGCAGGATATAATAACAGGGTTATATAAAGACACAGGAGGATACATTTAACTAACAAGAAATATTTTTCCACTTCTGTAATATTTTGTGCTGCATTCTTGTCACTTTAATTTACAGTAAAAGATTTCATGAACTAGTTTGCTGTTACCACTTTTACCACTAGATGTCACTTTGTGCACATATAAGGAAATTAAGAATGCTGTGTTTGGAGATTATTTTTACTAAAATTCATTTTATTAAATACCGTATTGTCTTGCAAAGCAAATTGCTGGTTCACATTGTATAAACCACAGAAACAGATGTAGGGAAGGTTAAACTTGATGGACTTGAGTCTTTTATCAAACTAGATTATTATTGTCATTATTGTTATTATTGTTATTATGAACAACTAGGATAGCTATGTTGGGTTACAATTCTCAGATTTGTTATTCATTCATTAGAGATCTTTTTTTTGCATATTTGTAATAAATCATGGTAGGAATCAAAACCAAAAGCACCGATCATATTTTAGTTAAACAAAGCAGTTATCCTAGCAGAAGTGATATTGCTGGAAGGAGGCATTAGGAATTGAAAGATGTGAGGATGTAAATCCCCACACAATCACTTTTTCTTATGTAAGACTTTAGCTCTGGAACCTTTAGGACTAAGTTCAAGAACACCCAGGAGGCAATGTGAGACCGACTGGAAGAAATATGGGAGGAGAGGTCAAGTATAAGTACAAGAATGAGAATAATACACAGATATAATCTCAAAAGAAATGGGAAAGGACCAGATGGTGTACCACGAGGCATCTGAGGAGTACATGTTTCAAGAAATTTTGAAAGAATGATCGGGAAGGTAGGAAGAGATCCATAAAGGAGCAGAAAGACTGATTACATGGTTAGCCAAGGTTAAAAGAAGGGTCAGATGAGGAACTAAAACAACAGTGACAGAAAAGTCAAGAAGGATGAGGATGGAGGAAACCTTTAACTGCTCAGCACTGGCAAAGAAGTTATAGACAGAAATGTTAATGTAGGAGGAGAAAGGCCAAACAGATTGAAAGAGACAATGCTGGTCTGTGGGTAGAGAAAGATGTTCTAATTTATCATTTTGCCAGGAAAAAGCAGTTAGGGCATGCTGGTGAGAAAAGGGAAATGTAAAGACAGTTGTTTTGGTGTGAGTGAGGGGAACAGGAGGGCATTAATGACTTGTAATAATTTACTTTACTGAACTTAAAATAAGTAGAGCATTGATTGTACCAGTATTGAAAGGTTGCTTGCGGAGAGGAGGATTCCATGGATGTTCCAACAAATGTAGCAAGTGATTAAATATTTTCTCTTAAACCAGTAGAAATTATATACAAGCTCACACTCAGCACCTTTTCCTGGGAGCACAAATTAGGAGCAAAGTTAAAAGATCATGGCCCTGGTTCAAAACATAAATAAATAGCACTGTAGTAACTTTGCCACACCAAAGGGAATGTTCCACAATCACTCTTTATTCCAACATCAAACTTGGACCAGTCAGTATTTTACCTTTGGCCTGGGCTTGACATAGACCATAAAGGTTGCTCTTTTACTACAGTGCTGTTCATGTAGCGCTATAGCTGAAATGGCTGGGTTGTATGGTGAACAGGGCATCCATGGACAAGTTTACAGTGGAGGTGTCCTTTCTTTACTCTGGACCCCCCTGGAGATCACTTCTCTCCCTTTATTTTTCCTTACACACTCCTCTCTGTCCTTTCGATTTCCTACTGTTTTATGGATAGGACAGTTATAAATACATGTTATAGGCTATTTAGATAAGGTTTGATTAGCATGGGGGATTTTTTATTCATTTTTGCCCTCTGGTCTATTTATTGGAGCACAACAAGCTGCTTCTCTGGCACCTATTGATTATCTGCAGGCTGCGTTCATTGCAACAGTGTTTCTACTTATTATAACTCTGTTTCGACCAGGATTGTTACATCTTTAGGAAACCCATTCATGCTACCAGAGAACTAACCAGGCAGTGACTGGTAGCCAATCTACTGTTCAGTACCTAGTTTTTTGGTTTTTATCTTCATTACTTGGAAATTGTGTGTGTTTTGAATTTTAATAAAGTCTGTTCTTGTTTTTCCTGTAAGCTTCTATACGTTCTTTAGGGGTGGTGCCTTGCAGAGGATCCCCCCGTCTCTGTACGAGGTGATTTCTCCCCATGTTTCTGTATTTGCATTATGTGTAGGGTTATGCCCTCTTTGCCACCCCTATAACACCTTTTTTGTACTCCTTGTTAGAATTTGTTCTCTACTCTGAAGTACTTTTGTCTATAAAGGTTTGTGATTGACCGCCACAGAAAATCTGTACAGGGTTACAAGAGGAGGGCCTGTATTTTGGCAGTGGATTGTCCCTTTAAATACTTATACCGTATCCTGGATTTTCAGCTTTGAACTTGGCATCCGTTTAATAGAATTTCCATGTCATCTCCTTGAATGTGGCTATTGATGTTCTGGTCTTGATGGGTTTAAACTGGATTTGTACTCTGACTTGTGCAAATTGAGTAACCATTATTCTTATTTGAGTCAGCTAAGGTGACATCGGATCATTTTTAATTAACTGTTACATTTTATTGATGGCTCTGTCTGCTTCTTTGTTTGGACATATATACTGTATGTGATAAATATATATATATATATATATATATATATATATATACATACAGATACTTTATTGGTTCGCAGGTCTGAGTTTTCTCCTTTTCGTCTTCATGCTGCATTCTCTAAATGGAAGAGCTAAATCTAATTTAATTCTTACATAAATCATTAACATTGCTGTACAGAAAAGTACATGGAGACCTATTAATATATTAACTCAGCCGTGGAGACCTATTAATATAAATGTTGCAAAAGAAAAAATATGTGAACTTTTCCAAAAGTAATCATCATTGAAACCAATGGAATCAGCAGGAACATTCTGTAGATCCCATGGTGATTTCTCCAGTTTTAGAAATTTGACACTAGCTGCACATTTAAAAAAAAATACTTTATCAGTATTTCGTGTAGTTTCTGTGCAAATTTAAAAGCTTGACTGAAGTGTCCAAAGACCATGCTGCAAAATCCACTGGTAACTACTCACTATTGATCTTCAACTTTTTCTTCTCAGTATTCAGTGGAACTGTCAGTGATATGCCCCTCCTAGCAATCATTCTTTGCTGTCCACTTTGTATTTTTGTTTACTCCTTGGTAATTGTGAAGTTGTGTGGTTGGGTTCACTGTGGAATTTAGTTGTACTCTCTTGGGCTTGTGTTATAGCGCCGTTTATACCACATATTTTTTTGTTTGTTGTTCGTTAGTCTACCCGTTGTACAGCAACGCAGAATTTGTTGGCGCTTTCTAAATAATAATGGTAATAGTAAATGTGCGCAATAACAATTTTGGAAAAAAAATATTGAAGGGACAGTGGACAAGCTTAGTAGTAAATATGATGGAGAAGATTTAGAGGTTACATCTAGTGATGTCCCGAACGGTTCGCGAATGGTTCACCACGGTTCGCCGCGAACGGTTCACCGCAGTCAGCAGATACATTCCAGCCAATCAGCAGCAGACCCTCCCTCCCAGACCCTCCCACCTCCTGGACAGCATCCATTTTGAAGCTGCATTCTTAGTGAGCTGTCCAGGAGGTGGGAGGGTCTGGGAGGGAGGGTCTGCTGCTGGTTGGCTGGAATGTGTCTGCTGACTGGAGTCCGCGGCAAACCGTGGCGAACTGTCGGCGAACCGTTCGGGACATCACTAGTTACAACCAAGGTACCATATGGTTTAAGGTTCTTTAATCATAGCACAAGCCTTTCATCATTTCTAAATCCATAAAGTAAGTACTAAGTTGATGAACATAACATGTATATACAAGGAAAGCCGTCAAGGCTAAAGGCTAAAGGCACTCTTAGTGCTTAAATGGTTTGTCATCATACACAGTTTATAGGATCATCCAACTTCTTGGTGTGAATGCCTTTTTATACAGTTTATAATAATTGCTATTTATTTAGTAATGACAGCATATTCTGTAAGCCTGAAAACATTGAGTAAAAGAAAAAATGAAAACTTTAGAAGAATTAAAAAGCTTAACAGAAACAAACTAAATCAAAAGGTTTTCTTTACCGTAAAAGTGGAGGTTACAGATATATATATATATATATAATTACATTTAAAAAAAAAAATCTTTTTATGTTTCTTATGTTAATAAAAATCAAGACATGATCGTATCCATTTCTTTATTTTCAGTGTGAATATAGCAACATAAATAACAGGCAGTAGTTGCTTAGGAAAGTAAATACTCTGGAACATAATCATTTTTCGTCCTGAGAAACATCCAGTCTGCTTTGTGTTGTTTGGCTTTGTGATGTTGGTAAAGAGGGTGTGTTGTTGGTTTTCTGTCTCACACACACCATACCATATGCTGCTCGAAACTACACTACTACTAAAAACCCAAATAACCAACAGTGACATGTATTACAAATGTAACAACTAATGACCTATTACAAAGTAAACATGCTAGAAAGAATTGTCAATAGAAGTGTAACAGTGACATGGAATTTAGGAAAATAACATTTTGCTACCATAGGCATTTACACCCTTCTGCCACTCACTGTCATTTGCTCAAGTACCTGTCCATTGTAAAGGGTGTATATAAAGCCTCACACTGTACACTTCATCTAGTGTATTGATGACATGGCTTGGCTGATGTTGTGGTCCACTTTTCCTCTGATTTCCTCTAGTGCTGCCTTGATTCACATCTATACCCGTGCAACTGTTCCATGTATAAAATAAAATTGCAATAATGTGTCTTCAAGTTATGGATAATACAAACTCTGTAAATTGCAGACCAAACATAAGGGCAATCTTTTCTTGGCTTAGGTTTAAGAAGTCCCTGATATATCTCCTGTGCAGTATCTTTAATCCAGGAAAGACAATCCGGGGTAACTTTATCCATAGTAGAGGGGGATGCTGTTTTTTTGTTTATACTCTACTTTTCAAAACAAACCTACGTTTCTATGAAAATGTAAGTTGTTTTTTTTTCGGGGGGGGGGGGTGGTTACGGCCCACATTTAATTAAACCTTGCTTTTTTGGCATGTGCTAGCCTTTGAGTTTGAAATGCTTGGTCTAGTATATTGTCTGGTTTTTTTTCTTTTTAGACGGACAGCCAAATACACCATATTGTTTAAATGTCTCCCCCAGAAGAAACTAATCTCCAAACTGATACCATTAACCCCCATGTATTTCAAGTGTATAACAATTTCTTGGTAAGTTCACGTTAAATAACTTGATTTAATTTCACATTGCTGTATTGTGGGCCATAATAAAGCCATACACATGTCCATAAATTATATCTAATTTATAGTACTTTTATAACGCTGCTTTCTGAGGGTTTATTCTTCAAACAATTACTTATGGTTAACATATGGAGAATTTCAGAATATATACTAAAAAAAGCTGATATAAAGGACCCTCCCTCCCCCCCCTCCCCCCCCTCCCAATATCCCTAAACATGTGTAATTCCATTGTCCCTTCCTCAAAATACAGTGCTTTAGTGCATCAGCTTTTTGGTTTGTTCAAAAATACTTACTTAAAAAAGCATGGGAAGAAAAATGTCTAACTCTGAGTTAATATTGGAAAAAACAGGTGACGGATGTGTAGCTATAGGGATAGGTAAGCAACTACACCTTGAAATGATTAATCTTTATTGATTAAATAATTCACTCATCACTTCATACTAATTTTAACAGAGGAACACAGATGGGTTTGAAGAATAAAGAATGACTTCTCTTGGTCTGCGTTCAAATCAAACATGAGAGCCAACGCCCTGCAAAATGTAGGTAACAAACCAACTAACTGGAGAACTAGAGTGCTCTAATTTACGTTATTATGCATATATGTTACGATATATGTAGGCGCCACATTCATTGCGCTATTATTGGCCCATCATCAAATTGTAAAAGATTACTTAGTATTGGAGATACGTATGTTTCCTATTACATTAGACACAGTAAAGCATTCATTTCTGACTCATTGTTTTTCTTATCCAGCTTCCTGCAATGTGGTGTACGAAGAGCAAAAGGTTACTTTGCACACACAATCATGAAATATCCAGTAGATAATGTTTCCCAATTTATCTACTCGGTGTCTAGTGTGTGAAAAATAACTGTTTCCTGGCTATATTAATTTATCGAACAAAACTGAAAACAATTTAGCTTCTCCACTCTTGAATAAAAAAATGTATAGAATGTTAAAAAGATAAATATCTTTTCATATGGAGCTGTTCATATATGTAGTAGGAAGTAAAAACCAAACATATTTACTTCTTACCTATCTTCTATCATGGACATCACCAGATATCTACTGTTAAAAAGTTTGCAGGAGTCCAACTTTATATTCACAGTGTTCGACAATTATCGGTTCCCAGTGGTGGCTTGTGAAGTTTTATAGGGTCACTCTGAGTATTACAAACATTACAGTGTGCTGTCTCACTACGTCAAAATTAACTGGTGGCTAGTGTGTCAACTCGTTTATTTCTTCAAGATGACTTGAAACAGAGGAAGAGTAATGTGCAAATCTAAATTAATATTAAGAGATGACAGCTGCGTGGCTATTGAAATACGTAAGCAACTACTCTAAATAGTTCTTTATTGATTAAATAATTCACTCATCACATCATATATCAACTTTATCAGAGGAACACAGATGGATTTAAGAATTAATAAAGACCATCGTTGTTCTGTGTTCAACTCAAACATTGGGCAAAATGGTTTGAGTTGTTGAAACAGAACCATTTAGGAACATTTTTATATAAACCTGGGTTCTTCTCAGCAACCAGAGACTGCCCCTTCTTGGTCACTTTGATACTTGCATCAGCATTCTCAGCCAATGAATTTAGTCCACCAATTCAACGTGGCAGTGATCAGGGTATTTCCTCGGCACCAAGAAAAGTCTACCCCTAGAATTCAACTCAAAACCCTATGTCTGTCCTGACACCGATGAGCTTATGGCACATTGCACCCTGTTCAAGAACATGTACGACTAGAACCATGAAAATGAAAAAACAAAAAACATTTTAAATAAATGTAAAACAAGAACTTTTTATTCAAATTTTTAAAAAAGACTACCTTTTATAGCTGTAATTTATTCTGTCTTTTTGATGAACTTCTGTCTACAGTGATCTTCTGACTTTCCCTTGGGGACGGTGGCCCCACCATGTTACCTGTACACATATCACATATACATATTGCTGTTGTAGTATGTAAAAGGAAAGTGTTGTAGGTAGGAAGTCAAGTTATTAAACAATGAGGAATATTGCTTAAATTAAATTCTACGTACTCCAGGCAGCCATGGTTGTGTTCTACCCATCAATATCAACATGTGATGTGCTGAACAGTGCTGCCCTGTAGTATGTAGACTTTATATGAAGCAGGGTCACTTTCTACAAGAAAAAGTGACCAGTAACCATTCCACATACTGCACCCCCAGCAATTGGTAGACTCTGACCCAACCCTTTTGAGGACTGTCCTCTCATTTCTGCCCACTGGTAGACTTTCCACTGCCTATCCCATGTCTATACCTTCAAATTTTGGGAGGTGTGTGTGAGAGAACTCACACCCACATAAGCAAGGAGAGATTTTAAGAGAGAAGAGGGGAAACGTGGTTGCAGGTGAGAGAGGCACTTATATTTGACTGTGCCTAGTGTAGCAACAAGAGATAAATATATAAGTGTCTCTAAAAGGTGTATGAGAGGGTTCTATCACACCAGCTGGATGTTTACCAAATCAATAGTATATTATTAGAAAGTGATTTTAAGTTATGTTTGTGTTTGAACTGTGGAGTGTCCCTTTAAGGGATCTTCTTTTTTCTTCTTCTTTGTTGTGGTGTGTGTGTGTGTGTGTGTGTGTGTGTGTGTGTATATATACATATAGAAATACAAACAAGTACTAAAAGAAATGGGCAGTGTTTCAGGCGCCATATAATTCATTGCCATTGGGAACAGAGTAACACTATTTGCCAAGCTAGAAATTGGTGACCTTCTAATCATTTGAAGTCTGATTGCGTTAAACGATGCCAGTTTGTTTTGAGGGTGGAATGCAATTTACTTTTTCTGATTCCTCTAGTGCCATAAGAATATTATTCTTGGAGGTATGCAGCCATTGAAGTTAGTCTACAATTTATCTAGTATTGTTTACATATGTAATTGGATATAACAGGATACACGCAACAATTTTGGCTACTGTAAAAAAGCTAGAGCTGTGCTCTACATGATTTAACACCACAGTGTAAGATGCAATATAATACACTTAAAACTCCAAATGTGTATGCAAATGAGGATCCTCAGATAAAAATAGAGTATCTAGAAGAGATATCAAAATTCTCAGTATGAAACTGTAAAACATAGTGATGGGAGTTAGGAGTGAAATAACACTCACACATTACCGAGCCATACCATGAGAGCAGAGCCCAATTGTACTACCTCTGACAGTCTATATACACCAGATTGTTTGGGAGTAGAAGGTAGGCTATTTTCTAGAGGGGCAGCTCATGCAAGAGTTCAGTACTTAGTGCAGTTATAGGGAATTTTAGTGTCCATAGCTTATTCTGAAGGCTCATGGTTAGTTATTCCTTACAGATAGCGCATTTATTAACCGCAGGATTCTTATCGAATAGATATTATAAACTATTGTCATACTGATCG